TTGGAAAGATGAAGTACAAATACGATAATATTTACATTGCATTTGTAAATTTTAATTTAGTGCACTGGTAGACAAGTACTTTAAATAATTCTTATAAAGTTTTTCGAAATAAAAAAAATGAATGTGTATACGAGCTCAAAATTACGTATTTTCACGAAAACGGCTCGAAATGTTCGCTTTGGAAATTTTCGTATAAAAAAAGGGTTTGCTCTTCTGTGATTTTATGAAAGTTATATTTGAATTGAACTATTAGGGAGCCAAAAAATTGAGAAAAATGAACGGCTTTTCTTTTATAAAAAGAAATCTCTACAATTTAATATTGCAAGAGAAAAACTAAACCATTGTGTTACTTCAGAAGATCAAGTTTTCAGAGCAATATTCTCCTCTCCAAGATTTCCTTTAAAAATAAAATTGTTCATTAATGAATACGAGGATGAAATAGTTTAAAAAGATAAATAGCCTTGCTTCCATTGTTGCTGTGGCAACGAATGGTGTTCTAAGTCATTTAAATAAAAAAAATTCAGCTTGCGCTCACAGTGTGATATTGATATATGATATATATGCCAAAGTAACTTAGTTAACATACAGTAGTTACTGGGAAATAATGATGTCAATAATGTGAGGAGGCAGTAGCGACTCGTGCTTAGGTTTTACTGTTGCACAATTCCCAGATAATCGAAAAAGATCAAGAATATACATTTTCCTTTTAACGGCATTCAATATTCTAGATATTGCAGCAATATATATATATATATATATATATATATATATATATATATATATATATATATATATATAATCATTTTGAAACCAAAAGAGCGCCCAATGAGCGCGCTCTTTGCGATTTTGACGATTTTGACCTGTGCATGCATCACTAAAAGTGATTAAATGTTTTTCCGCCATCATTCTCCCACACTAAATAAAAGCGATTAAATGTCCGAGATGCTTCTTCTGAGATGGGTGCAGATAAACAAGAAGCTATTTCTTGGGCGCCCGTGAGAGCTGTTGTTTCGTTCCATCTATGACATACTCAATTATACACAATTGCATGCAGCGGTTTGAGCAATTTGTTGGCTACTTCTGCATTGTGCTGGTCTCTAACGAAGAAATATTGAAGTTTTTTTGAAATTTATTTATAATGGTCGCATAAATATCAAGGTCTTGAGCGACCACAAGCTAGTAATACAGAATCACAGTATTAACAAATAATTTCTGTTGTGAGTTATCACAATTACAGGCGGTTATTAACCATTTTATACATTTTTATGGACAGGTCAGACACTTGACCTGGAGGAAGGCATAAAGTGGATATTCTTGATTGACACATAATCTGGGTTTGAAATAGTTATAGGGGAAGATAAACATTACATACAGTTATGGGCTTATTTATATGATTAATCCTGACTGCACAATATTCAAGGGTGGAATTAAGGTGAAGTTCATCTACTTTATAAGATGACATTTTGTAGATGGCTACCCCACCGTTACTATTAACAGTTTGATATGTGGAGTGAATTCAAGAACGCTTTCCTCAATATTTATGCAATTTTTGTCTTTTTCAAAAATACTCTTTAGCTGTAACCAATTCAAAATATATTTGTTACTTGGTTAAGATAATGTTCGTTTAAGCGGGGCAATTTGATTTTCTAGTCTATCAGATTCCTCAGCAACAGAAATTTAAAGTTGTTTTTTTTTATTGTTTTTTAAATTTGATTTAGTCAATGTGGAGTCTTTAGATTGATGGCTTTATAATCCATTGTCTCTGGTGTAATCGGTTGTATGTTATTTGTATCTGAGACTCTTTCTTTAAGATGGGTTTGGTCTTCTTCACATACAATTGAGTTTAACATTTCTGATGTCTCAGATTTTGAAGATAGATTAGATAAGGGGCGTTTAACATTTTTTGTAGGTCGGTTGTCAGTAGGATACGCGGTGGAAGAGGGTTTAAGTGCTGGAAAAGAGGAGGTGGACAGCTGTTATTTTTCGTTGCGAATACCTCCACAGTGCCCGGAGGGGTTCTCCTTTTTATGGTTCATGGGGCAATTATTTGCAAAATGTTCGGGCTATTTGCATAGAAAACATGATATAGAATCTGATGATGGATGTATCCAGAAAACTGTGTCATCATATTTAATTTTCATGGATTCTGGTGCTCTCTCCATCTCGTCTGGTTGAATGTAAATGTGTTGCCGGAAACTCAAAATGTGGTAAAACTCTGGTTCGGACATGCCGGCTAGTAGGGAAGGTCATTGTAGAGCCGATTCGTATTTTCAGTTTCGTTAGCTCGTCAATAATTATTGAGTGTGGGATGATAGGACACACATTCAATAGAATGAGTCTTTTGTAGTGCGTAATTAGCGGTCTAACACGGCACGACACGGCACGACACGGCACGACACGGCACGACACGGCACGACACGGCACGACACGGCACGGCACGACACGGCACGACACGGCACGACACGGCACGACACGGCACGACACGGCACGGCACGGCACGGCACGTCACGGCACGGCACGACACGGCACGACACGACACACGGCACGGAACGGCCTTAGGCTGCCACTCCGAGCTCATTACACCTTATCGCTACCGCTTATCGCACTGCGGGCGGTCTTCACTCGCCAACGGTCGGAACGACACTGAATATTGAAGTTTGACTCACCATTTTACTCCGGAATGGAACAATGTTAAAACCACCTACCAGTGCATCTAACGCTAATGTTCCAAAATTTGACGTACACCACTTTTGCTCTGAACAGCTGAAACGTACATTTAATGAGTCCTTTATATAAAGTTAACCATTCTGGAAGTCTCTTTCTGTCTCGATGGGTGCATCTTTCAGGCTGCAGTTACAGTCTGCGAGCGTTGTTGTGAGTACAAGTGTGTGTGGAACATTTTGCAAAATACGATATTATGATAGTAGTGAAATTTATTAAACAAAATAATTTTATGTGTACAACGTTCAAACGTATCCAAACAATAGTGTTTGTTGCAAAGTGCTGGATCACCGTATTTTTTAAAAACATTTTTGTTGTTGCATTTTGTATGAGTTATGAAACCGTGAATTGTCTGAATGCTTAACTAATACAAACATTTGAGTGCTCCTGAAGATGAAAGCTTGAACCGCGTGCGCGGGAAGTGAATGTACCTGGCACGGGCGCTGCGCATAAATTTATTTAGGTAATGATTCGATAAAGATTTTTATTAAACTTAATTTTAATTAATTTTCATAAATTGCTAACATTTTATTATATGTTCTGAAGTTTGGAAGTTGCATTCGCGTCATTCGATGGAGCTGTGACCTGTCTGATGGGTCACCAGCCACCGCGGCAAAGAGATACAGATTGCAAAGCTCATTAAATATCGCGTATGCCTACAAAATATCGGTATCATTAGGGTACGGGTAATCAGTACCATTAGGGGCCTTAACAAACGTGCCATGAACCGTATGCGTTCTTTCCTTCCTCTTCCTTGTCCTCTCCTCCCCTCTTACACGCACTTACACTAACAGGCACCTCACTACCACACATGGGCCGGGGGATCGGTCGGGAGCTCAGAGCTCGTCCCGGCTGGTGGCGAAAGCGCGCTAGCCGGCGGTGTATAGGTCGGCGCCGGATCTCGTCATCCCGCAGGGCAAGAACACCGCCACCGCCCGAGGAAAATCAATCAATTGGACTGCCGCAATTACTTTTCTCAAAAACCTTTTTTGTCAAAATGAGCTCAAAATTGTGTCTTTTTATAAACGCTCAAATTAAATTTTCTCAAATACGGCTCCAAGTTTTTTAATGAAAATTTGAATTTAGGTTCTAGTTACACTTTTCTATAATATTCCTCCCCGAATGGCAACACAGGGCTTGCAAAAGACGTCTCGCGAGGGGAGTATCCAACTTCAGTGTTACCTATTGATCGATTTATAAACTTACATTTCTTACTCATAATGTTCGTTGGCACACAGTACTTCAAACGGGTGGCGGGCCAAATACGATCATGACGAATAATTTGGTTATGAGCAACACACTTGTTTTACGAAACAACTCGTGAAATGTTTTATGTATATTACATAAATGTTTTTTGAAAGTGTTTTTCTATAATCTGAAAAATTTAGGAACCCTGTCTGATGCTGTCCCTCTGGACTGACATTGGTTAAAGGAAGTAATTTAGTACTTGCAATAATAAAATTTATCCACTTTGATCAATAGGCCCCACAATTTATTTTTTAACGAAAACTCGCCCTTCCCTGCTGAAGAATTACAATATTTTCTCTTTCTTATGTAAATACATAGTATGGCGAAGGAAGTTCACATTTAGAACAGTTTTTGAAAAAACCTTTTTTTTAATTACTAACATTTTACTCGAAAAATGATATATTTTCAAAATCTACATGGCATTAATTAAAGAAATAATTGAAGAGAACAAACTTCATTGGGAGAAAACAAAACTTCAATGAGATGTAGTTGTACGAGGGAGCTCCAAAAAACTTGACACTTTTACAATTTTGGAAAATTCAGAGTTAATAGAGAAAGACATACGTAAGTCATCTTTGTAAGTGTAATCAGTTCACTCTACTATTCTAATAATAAATGTAAAGAAAAAGTGGGAACTATTTTTAAGAAAATTTTGAAAATATGCCCGGGGCTACATAATATAATGAATTCATTTCGAAGTTGCAGGATCTTCACTCAGGCTCGATCGATCGGAAAATATTCATTTTTGAAAACATTCTGTGAATGATTTAAAACTAGTGTTGTTCACTGACAAACGAACGTTTTGAAAAGAAACAAAACTTTTTCGTTATTAGGGTACCCCAAAACATGTATTTCCGTTAAAATATCTAAATGGATTTGCTTTAACATTGCATTGTTTCCTTCTAAACTACGTATTTACTCCGTTTATACTTTCGTATACGTATTTTGCTTACTGTTGCCATAGCAACGTATAAGTTAGCCTCGTCTGGTGATTCTAAAGCAAATGTCTGGTCGAATCCGCCGATTTTGCAATGTCAGATGAACATGATACTGCTAAATTACAGGATGATGGTGATCGCTTACCTTCAGCTGGCAGTGCAGTATTAAATACCAGTGATGGAAACACTGATGTCAGTGCAACTCACGGGACTACAGCCTCCAAACGTTCTGTCCTGGTAAGTAATTCAAGGGTCAGGGACGAAAAATTAGGTTTTATCTTATACCTATTTTATTTTGTATTTAATATCCTAAACTTTATAGTTTAATTACATTTTCGAATGTGAATAAATCTAGCTGAAACTGAAAATTATTTATTTATTGAAAAAAGTTATGAGAATTTAATTTATAATTAAAATATTTTTCTGCCTGTTGATTAGTTTGCAGCCATTGTAGAACAAAATACATTATTGTAAATAATTAACATTTCATGAAACAGTCTCAAATGTGGAAAAGGCAAGTATTTGTGCATTTTGATATTTTTGTATATATCCATTCTGGGAGTTTATTCAGCCAAGCTTTGAATCAGTTTCATTACTAATTTCATTTTAGAACGTCTTTTTTAAACTAATTTGTTAATTATTTTATAAAAAGCATTTAGTTTTGTTACTCTCTCTGAAAATACTAAATAACAACTGGAAATTTGCCATTTGAACTGTCACTACTTTACATTAGATTGTAAAAAAATACTAATTATTACTATTACTATTATTATTATTATTATTATTATTATTCATTATGCCTGAGGTGCCTGAGCGTATTGCGTTGCCGGAGAGAGCGATGCAATATTAGCAAAAAAAGTAGTTTTTTTGGATTATAGTGCAGTTAAAAGTGTTCTGAGCTGTTGGGGCACAGTTAGTGAATATCGATTTTGTTAGGAAAAAGAAGAAATCAAGTGAAACTCTCAAAAAGAAAGAAAATCAAGTGCCAGTGACACCTCGCAGGAACTGTTCGCTTTTCACCACGTAGTACTTCTTCAGCGTTCGCCACGAACACAGCTGATCCAAAATAAGCTGTTAAGGAATATAAAATTAAACTTTCTTTCAACACTCTTTCTTGCTAAAAAACAAACCAAGAGTTAAACCATATCAGTTTTAACTGTGAAATGTGAGGGAGAAATGAAGAACGTAGAGGGTATTCTGTAATGGATGCGACGAGTATCTTCATTTCTCTTTCTCGATCAGCGAGGCCACGCATCGGGCAAAATCAGAAAGAGGCAGAGAAACTGGAGATGTGCGAAATGTAGACCGTCAACCAGGTCAACTCAGTCAACTCACCCAATCCTCTTGCTACGGCATGCTAGGAAATAAACAGCAAAATAGACACCCTCTATGGACGTATGAACGAGATAAAAAAGACTATAGACTTCCTAAGTAACAAATACGACTGAGGTGATTGAGGAAATAAAAGTCCTGAAAGTGATTAAAGAAGAAATGAAGAAAGAAAATGGAAAAAGTGAATAGTGTAATTCACAAAGTTATAGAATAGAAAACAACAACTTTTGCGACAAAAATTTAGAAATAAGTGGGGTGAAACTTGAACAGAATCATTGTCGGAAAAGCACATTTCGATATTTTCAGTAAAGTTTGTGGGGAAAAAATTAATGAGAGCGTAATTGATGAAGTTTACGGAGTAAAACAACATGAATTGTCAAAACTAAAAGTAATAGTCAAATTTAACTCAAAAAAAAATTAGAGACAAAATTCCTAAACTGCTAAAGAAAAAAATGCAAAACAAGGACTTATTTAAAAAATGGGGATGATCAACCTTTGTATATCAATGAGAATTTAATGTCATATAACACAAATTATTACGGAAAGCCAAAAAATAAGGCCAGAAGAAAAAAATTTATAAATTTAGGTGGGTTAAAAATGGTAAAGTATTAATAAGAAAAAATGAGGGAGTAATGTGATTAGAATAAGGTGGTGAGGAAGATTTGAAACAAATAATTAAACAGAAAGATAAGGTAAGATTAGAAAACATAAACAATTATGGAATATTCCTTTATTAATAATTTAGAGATTCAAGAAACTAAAAGTTACAACCTCATTAAGGATTTTAATCACGTAATTAATGCAAAACAAAGAGAAATTTAATGTAATTCATTTAAACATAAGATCAATTAGTAAGCATTGGGATGAAATTTTGTGGAGTTATAAGACGATAGCTCCAAAATATGGATTGTGATGTCTTGAGTGAAATTAGTGTCAAAAAGATGACGACTTTTTAGAATATATTTGCCAAATTTAATAGATACATAAAAACAAGAGAAGAGAAAGGAGGAGGAGGCATAATACTATTTGTAAAAAGAAATAAACAAATTTGAACTTGGGTGATTTGGTGGGTTATCAGTTTGAGTATTAGCAGGTCATTTAGAAATAAATAATAAATCAAATTAAGCATATTTGCAGTCTATAGAACCACACTCAGAAGCAAAATTCTATATTTACAAGAACTAAATGAAATTTTAATACAGAATAAAAATGTGAACAAAAGAAAATAATTGGAGATTGTAACATAAACATCAGCAATGACCAAAAACTACGATTGATTACATAGACATTTTGTAGATCACAAATTAGTGCACTGTATCAAAAAAGATACGAGAGTTGAAATTAAAAAATGATAAAGTAGTGAGCTCATGTATCGATCATATAGCTGTTAGTGGAATGCCAAAGACATAATCCATTTAATACTAGAAAGCAAGATAACAGATCATTATTTAATTGGAATCTCATGTAATCTCAATAATAAAAAGATAGTTCTTGAAAATATTAACAAAAAAAATTTGAAATTTATAAGACAAAAGTAAACTACAAAAGAACTAATGAACTTAAATGAATTTAATCTTCAAACTTAACAGCTAATGAAATTGTACAAGTAATAAAAATGTATATGATAAAGCCGTTAGTCTCTAAGAATTCTAACAATAGCAGTGAAAGGTAATATTGAAACCCTGGATAAACTCAGATATCAATGAAACTGATCAAACAAAGAGATAACTTGTTTAAAACAATGGAAAGGACTTCTCTCAAAAAAAAGAATTAAAAGATACACTAAGAATTAATTGATAAAAAATCAGAAATGACATAACAAAAAAAATCCAGCAGCAAAAGAAAGAATATTTTAACAAACTATTTGAAAACAGCAGAAATGACATGAAAACACTTTGGAAAAGCATAAATATAACTACTTGGTGTACCACGAAGAAAAAATTTTTAAGAGAAGTCATAATAAGAAATTTAGGGAATAGTAACTCAATCGAACAAATAATAGAAAGATTTGCTATCACTTATCAACAACAAACAGAAGACATTGTACATAAATATAACCAAGCAGTCCTGCCAAAAAATTAATAAACACAAAAGTAACTCGTTTACTTACCTGAAATAACATTAGAGGAAACTAGTTCTTTAATTAAAGGGATGGACTGTAATAAAGCTCCAGGAATTGACAAAATAGCTATAAGAGATATAAAAATTAACAGCGACTCAATAACACCAATTATAACGAAAATTATCAACTTATAGCATTAGTGAGAGAACTTTTCCAGATGAATTAAAAGTATCCATTATCAGACCTACATAAAGGAGACAGTCTTTCAATCTCTGAAAACTATAGGCCAATTTTCATATTAAAACACAATAATAAAAATATTCGAAAAATACATATCGCAAAGACTGACCAACTTACTGGAAAAATATAAAATAATAGATAAAAATCAATTTTGCATATCAAAAAAAACAAAAGCACCACAGACTTATTGGAAAATCTAGGAGAAGTATTAAATGAAAAATTACACAAGGATTGCATGTTGATAGCATGAGCATGACTTGTCAAAATAATAATAATAATAATATTTATATGAGTCACATATACAATTACAATCGTGTATGAGAGTCAATATGATGCCTTGGGTGGAGACGAGGCGAAGTTATATTACTGTTCAGGAGCAAACAAGGGGCCATCTCAGCATTTGCTCAAAGGACCAGGGAAACTGAAACAAAACTGATCAAGATGGGTCTTGGCCTAGAAATACAATACTTGTTACAGTTAGATTAAGATATTATGCAGTAGATAAATTTCTGCTAATAATTAACATTTCAATATGATATTTTATTCTACTACTTATAATAAATTATATTAATAATAATTACATTAATAATACATATCAATTATGTTTTGCAATCTACATCAAATATAACAATAGTAGTACATTCTAATATTTATAACTTGAAATGGTGAGGAGACAAGTTTTGACCAGTTTTTTTTCTTCTCTATTCTCCTTCTCTTTCACAGGATGTGAATGCAGTCTTTTTTTTTTTTTTTTTGGCTTCAGCTTGAAAACAAGTTCACATGAACACAGAAAGTCTAATGGAATAAGAATTCTATTTATTTATATTTTTTAAGGGAAATGTTTCATTTGAAAATTCCTTTACACTGTAAGAACATGTTAAGCAGGAAAGCTTTCAATTTACTTTTAAATGTATGAATTGTGTTATGTCTTTGATATCATTGCCTAGTTTGTTGTAAAGTGTAATGCCCTCTATTAGGGTACTTTCTTATGATAAAGTGTAGTTTCAGATGTGGGAACGTGTAGGTATCCTTTGACGGGTGTGTGTAGTTATGTACATCAGATTTAAAGTAAGTTCTTTTGTTTCCATGAGAATTTTCTTTGTGAAGACCACTATTTCAAATATGTACATGCATTGGTAGAGAAGAATCCTTAGTTTATTAAACAAGGGTTTGCAAGACTCCAGCTTATGAGTGCTGGTCATTGTTTGCAGTATTCTTTTTTGGATAATAAATGTGGAGTGCTTTCAGGGGCATTTCCCCAAAATATTAATTTTTAGGTGTAAGTGCACATTTGCAAAATACATTCTTCGAAGGTCTCAAGTTGGAGCTTGACCTGAGTGGTGTATAGGGCATAGCAAGATTTGCTGAGCTTCTTGGTGAGATTTGAGATGTGAGTGTTCCATTTTAGGTTTTCTTGAATTGTTAGTTCGAGAAAGGTAGTTTCATGAGATATCGTTACAGGGTTATGTTTATGAGCAAATGCTGTGAGAGTTTTTCTTTAAGATACGAAGAATTCATGAAATTTAGAGAGACTGTCTTGCTGGTGTTATAATGAGTTTGTTGTCTTGAAACCATTTTACTAGTGCTGCAAAGTTTGCGAGTT